ATTTTGCTAGCACTGTACATCCCAAAGGGGACAAGGAAAGAAAACAAGCGAGTTCTTGGCAATTAAAAAATTTAAATCACTCAGGATTATTAACATACAACATATAGTGCAACAAGTACTTCACTCGGAAAGCACCTTGCATGTAGGATGAAGAAGTTGACAAGTTTGCTCTGTTTGCTTTCAGCTTCTCTGCTCCCATTTTCTGGAGTCCCTCCATCTCGTCCCTTTCCCACACCTCATTCATGATAAATTAACAAAATAATCCTTGCATTTGTTATAGCAACTTTTATGTTGGGAGAACATCCCAAATAATAATAATAATCCTTGCATTTGATATAGCGCTTTTCACGTCGAGAGGACGTCCCAAAGCGCTTCACAGAACACACTGTAAAGTGAATTGACTGTATATTTGTGGGCAAACGCGGCAGCCAATTGCGCACAGCAATGTCTCACAAACAGTCGTAGATTGAAAATGACCAATTTATTATTGTTTTTGGTTTTTGGAGGGATTATTATTAGGCGTGTGGAGTAAAGAAACTTGCCCAAGGTTTCGCCCTCTGCCTGGAATTGAAACTCAGGTCTCTCGCTTGCAAAACGAGTGCTCTAACCAATGAGCTACAGGACTCCACAGTGCTTCAGAGGATTCACTGAAAAGTGCATTGACTGTGAATTTGTGGGTGAAACATCTGTCTCAAGACCTCTTCAACCACACCTTTGGTGTGGTCATCTTTCCCCTCCCTGCTCCCCTCAGCTTCCAACCCAACTCAGGTGCCATGTCAGGATATTCTTAAACCTAAGAACGTGGTAAATTAACAAGAATCCATCAGGTCAAATGCCACACTTCATGGAATTAACCATTGAAACATACACTGAGCTGTGGTCGGGTGGGGGGGGTGGGTGGGGGGTGTTGGGTTGGTGTGAATCTTTCAACCACCATTCAATGTAATAAATATTACATGAATACTAGCTTGACCAGTTTCTTATGTGTATTTTCTGTTATGATTGAATGGGGAACCATTGTTAAGGCGAGGCTAGAAATGCTCGACATAATCAAGGCCTTATAATCTGCAATAATAACAAAACTTTGGCATTTGATATAGCACCTTTCACATGAGAAGGACATCACAAAGCTCTGCACAGCATATATGTGTTGTACTTCGTAGGCAAAAGTGGCAGTGAATTTGCACACAGCAATGTCCTACCAACAACCATGAAATGAATGACCAATTTTATTTGGGAGATTGTTGGCTAAGACAACAGGAGAAACTCCCTTCTCCTTAATTCAAATCTTTGCATTCGATATAACACCTTGTAGCATAATTTTGTTGTTGTTGTATATGAGTTTAAAGTTTCAATGTGGAACTTCAGGTTTATTATCAAAAACAATGAGAAAATGCCATTCAATCCATTAGTCATTCTTTCCAAAGGACTAATTTATTTCAGTGGCTGCCTGTAATAAGACTTCGACCAACTTACATATGATGTGAAGAAGCACAGTGAAACTTCAACGGAGATAGAACTCTGAAATGTTTCCACAATCCCTCCACCCTCCTGCCCCTCCCTGAAAAAGTAAACTTTAGGAAAAGAATACAGTGTGAAATTAGGGGAACAAAAAAAAACAAATGAGTTTCAATAAAAATGTGGTCATTGCTGTTCTGATGATAGCCAACAAAAGCACTTTGGTTCCAATAGTAAGCTCTTACTCATAAGGAGTGCTTGCAATAGGAAAATTGGTCTACAGTTGCATCATTGCATATGATGGATAAGGGAACATGGTTATGAAGGAGGCTTGGAAAAAGGTGGACTGAACAACATTTAGCAAAGCACATCAGGGACCATAGAGATGCCGACATCATAGGAAACATGTCCCATCTACTTATAGTTTACTCTGAAACCCGCTTTGAAGTATGCTAAAGTACTGAGGGTGTGGGTTGCAAGTATCATTGCAATCAACCCGACAGGCTGACTCTGTTTTAATGAGGTAATTTGGGACTGTGGACTCAGACCCTGAGCAAGAAGGGTTTAAAGAAATGGTCGCTGCCATCCTTCCAGGTCATCAAGTCGTCACTGATGTCACTTTCTGTAAGCTGTGTGCACAAGACGCTGAAAACCAGTAACTGCTCTCACAAGTGTTTCCAGTGATTGCTACAACATCATTAGTCTTGCGTGGACTTCTGACTTATAAAACCATATGAAATTTATGGCACAGAAGAAGGCTATTTGGCCCATCGTGTCTGTGCCAGCTCTTTTAAGAGCCATGCTTTTAGTCTAATTTCCCTGCCATTTCTTCAAACTTGCACACTATATGTAGATAGTTGGCCAGTCAGTGCCGGAAGTTGGAAATAATAATAATAATCCTTGCATTTGATATAGCGCTTTTCTCGTCGGGAGGACGTCTCAAAGCACTTCACAGAACACACTGTAAAGTGAATTGACTGTATATTTGTGGGCGAACGCGGCAGTCAATTGCGCACAGCAATGTCCCACAAACAGTCGTAGATTGAAAATGACCAATTTATTATTGTTTTTGGTTTTGGAGAGATTATTATTAGGCGTGTGGAGTAAGGAAACTTGCCCAAGGTTTCGCCCTCTGCCTGGAATTGAACTCAGGTCTCTCGCTTGCAAAGCGAGTGCTCTAACTACTGAGCTACACGACTCCACAATATATCAATAGGCTTCTAATACGTGCAACCAACCAGGGTACAGCTGCACTAAAATCAGATCTATATAGCAGCAGAATATTAAAGCAGGGTGAACTTGAATTCGGCAGAACAAACATATTGTTTCTTAACATCTATTCAAATGAAATTGCCACATACCTTGATACAAGCAATAACAAAGAGTTTGTGGCTGCAGTCATGAAATACGTCTTTCACAATGTGCCATATTGACAAAAGCCGTTGGGGTCTAATTTGCACGATTTCTTAGTGATTTCTTATTTAAATTTCTGACTCCATGTTGCAGAAATTTGATAAATATAACATTTCTTATCAAGAAATCTGTAAGAGATATACCACAAATTGGACCCTGATATATGTTGTACAAGCAAATGGGGAGATCACAACCAGACTAGGAAAATATTACCCTCCTCTTCTCCCCCCTGCCCCCATTACCTTTGGTGGCATACACATCTTTATTTTTTAATATATACGGATTGATTAGGGGTGTTGAATTGAGAAATAATGTTTATAAATAATAAGCAGATCTAAAAAGGAATATTTTCACACAGAGGGTGACAAGAATGTGGAACTCACTGTCAGAAGCTGTGGTTGAAGCAAATAGCATCAATATGTTTAAGCAGAAAATTTATAGAGGGATGAGAAATAGAGGGGTGTTGGTGAGGCCTCCTGTAGAGTATAAACACTACCATGGGCTTGTTGAGTCGAACGTTCGGTTTCCATGTCATATTATCTTGTGTGTCTATGTCTGTTTCTCTTCTCCAACCACAAGTACAACTAAGGATGTGATATCAAGTCAAGTAGTAGGGGTGGGGGGCACTGCATTGTTGGCATTATTGTTATTAATATTGCCTGGAAATCGTGTTGTTGCTGAACAGATTAGATATCTCAGTGAACCAGTTGAGAAATATAACAATGGGATGCAAAGAGGATTCAAACATGATCTGACAGATACATAGAGCCATAGAAATTTGCAGACCAGAAAGCCATTGGGGCTATGGTGTTCGGTGCTGGCTCTTTTAAGAGCAAACCTTTGAGTCACATTTACCTGCCCCTTCCCCATACTCCTGTGACTCACTCCTTTTAGGTGTTTATCTAGTTCCCTTTCGAAAGCTGATATGGATTCTACCTCAAGCATCGTTGCCAGGAGGGCATCCCATATCTTTAAATACTCTGTGCATGAAAAAATATTCTCCTAACTTCCCCATTTGCTCAATTGTTAACTACCTTAAATGCAACCAGCAAGGCTGCAGGCCTCACGACCAGTGAACGCAGTGTGCTGCGTGATTTAACAGAGGGATAGCAAAAACAGCTCTGTTAAAACACCCATTGCATGACTTACTTCCAAAACCGCCCTTTATAGAAAAAAATCCAATGAATGTGCCAGAATCTAGCCCAACAGCATCAGAAAACTAGTTTGATCAATCAAGGCAGATACCACAAGTGCCAGTGATATTCAGAGCCACACATTGTTTCAGTTAAGCTCCTGTATCCTCACAATTACATCCACAGGTTTCACTTAAGTGATCTCTTTCCCTAATACAGATGGCTCCAACCATGCATCATTCCTTCAAAGCCTGTAACTAAATAATTAGAAACAAAAAACACATGGTTCTAAGGCCAGATATTCCTTCATGTTTTAGCCTGTAAAACCATTTGGTCTGAAATCACGCACAATCATGGAAAAAATAACTTCAGTGTTTTGATGGCACCTAAGGGGAAACTAACTGAAATAAGTTGGTTTCCTATACTTCTACAGTCAGTTACTGCATCGAGGATGGGAGATTCGCAACGCCCCACTACATACTTCCAGATACTCCGAGGCAGCAGAACAAGAGGACACCGGTTCAATAGAATACAATACAGACAAAAGAAAGTATTTCTTTCTACAGAAGCTAAATCATGCCTGGAATGGGATTCATATCCAGAAAGGTTGTTTGAGGCCAGAACCCTGAACTCATATAAGAGATAGCTTGACGCTGCGATGGGAGGATGGAAGGGGTGGGTTTTATGGAAAGGTGAGATCAGATAGGTGGAAAGGTCTTCTTTATCTCAACTTCTCGTGTGATCTCTTACTATAGAGAGCAACTACATAGCCAGGATTCGGTCCCTACAGCAGAGGGTGAGTATTTGAGAGGCAGAGCAGCCTGGCTTTAAATATCGGAGACCTGGTGAAACATGCCTAGGAAATTTGTGACGTTTTGTAGCGCATTCCTTGTGATAACTGATGAAAGGAACACTTTGTGAAGAGTTGCAAATTTCACCTCTATATGTACATCTTACAACAAAGTAAAACACTGCTGTGGTAAGAGAAGTACTTACAGACTGTCCTTGCAGCCCATCTGATCCGGGGAGACCAGGGTTTCCAGGCTCTCCCTGCAAAAGAACAAAACAAAAAAAGTTTAGATAATACTGCAAAGGGTTTAATACAGGATTTATAAGAATATAACCCAACAAATAAAATAATTCTCATAACTTGGTCACTCAATCCACGACTGTTTGTGGGACACTGCTGTGCGGAATTGACTGCTGCATTTCGCCCACAAAATATACACTTCACAATATATTTTGTGAAGCGCTTTGACATTACTCAATGATGTGATAAGGCAATATCAAATGCAAGGATTATTATTATTATCATAACTTGATTTCCATGTTCATTTCAAGGAATAACACAAACTGATATAGCATTGAAACAGACCATTTGGCCCAACTAGTTCATGCCAGTGTTTCTGCTCCACATAAACTTGCTTCCCTTCTAATCCCTTCTGACTGTCTTCATGCAGCATTGAACATCCTTGTCTGCCTGTTCAAATTCCTATTTTGCTCAGTGCAATGTCCCGCAAACAGTCACAAATTAAATGATCAATTTTAACTGGAGGATTGTTGGCCAGGATACAAATTGGCGAACAGCTACAGGCTTTGGTTTGGGAAAAGGTCAAGGTCTATCGTATCTGTATAATAACAGCAACAACAACTTGCATTTATATAGAGCCCTTCACAAGAAGTAGCGACTTGGAGTGCATATCAGTAGTAGACTTTGATTCCAAGCATGGGAGAGGTGGGAGGTGACCATAGGCATGTTCGAAAAGGAACATGTGATTTGAACACATTTAAGGAGGGGCAAGGTGGAGGGATTTGTGAAGACAATTCCATACTTTGGGGGCATAGTGGCTGAAAGCACGCTGCAATACAGTTAAGAAAATAATTAATAATGAAACAATAATCCTTGCATTTGATAATAATAAATGAATACTATAATACTGAAACATCTCCAAATGCTTCACAGGCAATTACTGTCAAACATAATGACTGTGCGTTTGTGAGCAAATAATACAGATCACAATTAAAATAATAATAATCCTTGCATTTGACACAGCGCTTTTCACGTCTTCTAGACAACAGCAAAATTACATTTATATAGCACCTTTCACGTCAGAAGGACGTCCCAAGGGGCTGGACAGACAGAGTTACGGACCCGAGCTGGGGGTCGGGGTGTGGGAGAGTGGAGGGCAGGGGGTGGAAGTATGGAGATTGAAAGCATAGGAGGGTCTTGAGGTGGGTCTTGAAGTTGGCGAGGGAGGGGTGAGACGGAGGGACTGCGGGATGGAGATCCAGAGGGTGGTTGCTGAGCGGAGGGAGCCAACAAAGGGGTAAGGGGTTAGGAGGTCGGAGAGGTAAGGGGGAGCAAGACCGTGGAGTTCTTTGAAAGTGAGGACCAGAATCTTGAACTGTATCCTCTGTGTTATGGGAAGCCAGCGGTTGGGCAAGGATGGGGCTGATAGGGTCATGGAGCCTAGTGCGGAAGAGGACACAGGCTGCAGAGTTCTGAATGATCTGCACCCTATGGAGGGAGGAGTTGGGGAGGCCAACAAGCAATGAGTTTGCAATAGTCAAGCCTCGATGTAAAGAAGGCATGTATGAGGGTTTCGGTGGCCTGCAGTGTGAGACAGTGTCGGTGCCGGGCAACGTTGTGGAGATGGGGGAAGTCAGAGCGAGTCATAATGCAGATGTGGGGTAGAAAGGATAGTTGAGGGTCAAACAAGATCCCAAGATTCCAGAATGGCTTAGCAAGGTGGAGGGTGCAACCATGGATAGTGATGCTGTCAGCGCCTGAGGTGAGGAGGTGTTGACTGATGTCAATTTAGACATCTCAAAGCGCTTCACCGAATATATTGTAAAGTGAATTGACTATATTTGTGGGCGAAACGCGGCAGCCAATTGCGCACAGCAGTATCTCAGAAACAGTCATGGATTGAGCGAACAAATTATTATTGGGAATTTTTTTTTGAGGGATTATTATCCCCGGAAAAGCGATCCCCCAATCGACTAATAACTGGGTTCCTACTCACTGCCGGGTAACAGAAGCGTGTATGTGGAATAAGGAAACTTGACCAACATTTTGTCCTGCCAGGAATCAAACTTAGGTCTTTCGCTAGCGAGGCGAGTGCTCTAACCACTGAGCTACTTTTTTTTATTTACTGGAGAAAAATCTCCAATAGCTCATCCTTTGGCTGCGTCCCCAGTGAGTCTCCAATTTTATATGTTGCGAGTTTACATGCCAGCATCTGCTGACCCTTGCTAAGTGTTTGTCGTCAACTCTCAACCGGTGTGGCACAGCTGTGGTGCAGCCACACTGCAAGCCTGCACCGACTGAGGAGAAAGCGTAAGACCAGTGAATCAATTATGCAACAGACTGTTATACAAAGTCACGAAGAGCTCCAGCATCCGCATGACAGAATCCACTGAAGGAACTATTGTTAGAGGACATGGCCTGCGATTGAAGTCAGGTAGATTCAGAACAAATCTGCGAAACACTACTTCAGTGAGTAAGCAGTAAACATATAGAAAAGGCTCCCTAGGCAGACGGTAGAAGAAGAAAGTGTTGATTTTTGAAAAACAGATTAGGTAGATTTCTGTTAGGAAATAATATTTCAGGATACAATATATAGTTTGAGACACGAATTGTCAAGATGGTGGAAGGTGATCTGGATGAACCTTGGTTTTCTTTTGTCTAGCAAATTCTTATGTTTTTAGTACTACCACTTTTCCAGGCGAGGGAAGAAATCATCCATGTAGAGCCTTTAGAAAGGATGAAGAGACTTATATTTTCGACCATACTTTATCACTGTTCCTTCCCACTACTCTAATCCCCACCCATCCCCAAGCTTGGATAACCAGTCAGTTATTGTGAAGCCCTTTGAGGCGTCCCCTGGAATAAATCACCTGCCTCAACAGTGCATAGAACTTGCTTAGTTGTGTACTTCAATCACAAAGGGCCTGCTAAAACCACCAACTATGGTTATAGCTATCTGTAAGACTGGGGAGGTGGAGAGAGAAATATTGCAACATGCCAACTGAAGGGGTCCATGGCAGGAAGTCATCCTGTCAGCCAGTGTTCAATGAATCTGGAGACCCGGCCAAGACAAGAGACAGCCAATGTTACAGTATCAGCTAAAGGAGCTGTTGCCAGCAGCCAAATTAATTCCAAAATCAGGAATCTAGGGGCCAACTCTGGGGCTATAAAGTGGGTGTAGCATAGATCTAACAGCTTAATTCTGCAGGAGAGAAGTCGTTTAGCTTTCAGTTCACCCCAGAAATGTGGGTTCTGTTAACCAACACTAATTTGCATTTCTACAGTGCCTGTCACATAGAAGAATGTGTTAAAGCAAATTGGCGGCCACATTTGCCTAAAAAAGTTACACAGCCCCTACTCTTTACAATCAAGCCTTTCCAATACGAAAAGCCTGGTATCAAATGCAAATTATAGAATCACAGAATTATACAGCACAGAAGGAGGCCATTCGGCTCATCATGTCTATGCCGGCTCTTTGAAAAGAGCTATCCAAATTGATCCCACTCCCGCGCTCTCTCCCGATAGCCCTGCAAATTAGATCTCCTCAAATATTTATCTACTTGGATTATTCTTTTGTTTTATTATTAATTATTCCTAACTTGCAACATTAAAAGGAAGGTCAATACAGCGCTTAAAGTCCCAGAGACATGATTCTATGGTATTGTAACATACGTGTAGTATGCTTGGGGAGGACAAGTTTGCAAGTCTATGGAGAGAGAACGGGGAAGTGGGATTGATTTGGATAATTCTTTTCAAAGAGCCGGCACAGACATGATGGGCCGAATGGCCTCCTTCTGTGCTGTATAATTCTATGACTCTTTGATTTTTTTAAGAAATCAATGGCAATTAAGAAGGAGCCAATGAAAAGAAGACAGGAAGTATAAAAGGACACTGGGTGTGAGACTCGGGGTTGTGGTAGGAGTATTGTATTGGTGTTGACTGAGAATAAAATAATTACTTAATACATCATTGTTGTAGACTGAAATCATTACAGTACACAAATTATAACTATGTCAGATTTTCACAAACCTTTGGACCATGGCTTCCAGCTTCTCCAGGCTTTCCACTTACACCTTGCTGTCCCTATAAGATGAAAAGTAATGTCAGTTGCCAGTTGTGCAGGTGTGTTCTTTCAACTGATAAAATTTCAACAGCGAACATTTTCTTTCTCTACTTACACGAGGTCCGCGTAACCCCATGTAACCGTGAGATCCTTTGCTGCCTTTCTCACCCTTTAACAAAAATACAAAGCAATATAAATTGACATTTATATAGCATCTTTCATGTCAGGAAGACGTCCCAAGGCAGTGAACAGACACCCAAGCTGGGGGTTGGGAGGAAAGTTGACCGAAAGCACGGCCAGAGAGGTAGAATGAGGTGAGGGAGGGACTCCAGGATACAATTCCAGAGAGTGAGTGTCAAATAGGCTGAGAGCACGACTGCTGATGATGAGGCGGGTAAGGCAGGGACATGAAGCAGCCTGGTGCTTGCTGAATGAAGGGAGCAGCTAGGTCAGTACGGTATGGTATTGTTTAAGGAGGTGGCAGAGGTAGGATGGGAGCAGCGAGTGCGATATGATTGAAGTGGATTGAATGTTGAGCAAGAGAGAAAAAAAATCCAAAGCCATTTCACACGTACCTTTATACCATCAAGGCCAGGCAGGCCTGGATCTCCCTGGGACCCTTTTAGGGCCTGCAACACAAATTATACATGGTGCAATATTCAAACAAAGAAATATGTTTTGTATTAAGATACGTCCAAAATAAAATTAGAAAATTGTTTGTGAATGTTTTTCTTCCCCAAGAGCAACATGTTGAGTTGGTCCCTCAAATATAACTTTTCTATCTTTATATGGACAAAACTTTTATTCAGCTCCGATTAAGGATATAATTAAATACAGGAATCCTTATATGACATCTCTCTAAGTCCAGCAACAACGAACAATCTTTATTAGACGTGCCGAGATTATGAAACACACTGGAGTTTAAAACTGTGCTGCAAGAACCCAATTTGTACAAATCAGAAACACAGCCACACTTTTGGAATGAGGGTGAATTTAGGTTCTGAACCAAGAACGTTGCAGTATTAAATTGTGTTACACAATGTTTCATTTCAAAAATTATGAGGGGTTTCGATAGAGTGAACAGGGAGAAACTGTTCCCTCTGAAGCATGGGTCGGTAACCTGAGTACACAGATTTAAGATAATTGGCAAAAGAACCAGGGGAAGATGGCAAAGGGGAGATGAGGAGATTTTTTTCACCCAGCGAGATTTTTCAATCTGGAATACATTGCCTGAAAGGGTGGTGGAAGCCGATTCAATAGTAGCTTTCAAAAGGGAATTGGATAGGTGCTTAAAAGAGAAAAAATTGCAAGGCTGCAGGGTAAAAGCAGGCTGTGGGACTAGTTACATAGCTCTTTCAAAGAGCCAGCACAGGCAGGATAGGGCGAATGGTCTCCTTCTGTGCTGTACGATGCTATGATTCTCTGACGTTTATTTTGTTATGTACCCCCTTCCCCAGACCCTTTCCCCCTCAGCCTGTTCTCAGCTACACTGCCAGCATGTAGGAGCAAACGGAGAAGATCGCAAAGCCAGGCTTGTGAGATCATAGATAAAACAATACGTCTCAAGTTAGCACCAGCCACGATAAACGTAATTCGATCCTGCTTGGCATTTGTCCTAGGCATTTTGTGCCTTAATTCACCAACAACAGGGAGTGAACACTACCTCAAAAAAAGATAATTTTCCAGTTGAATCTGGCAGCTTTGTCCATCTGCATTGCCACCAACAGGAGAGTAATAGGGTCAAGTCGAAGTTACAACACCGAAAGCCTTTTGCTCTATTGGGGCTATTCTGGTGTTAGCTCCTCCACTAGTACAATTTTCCACTCTTATGCCAATTCCCTGCCTTCTCCTCAGTTACATTCAAATGTCTTTTTTTAAAATGTTATTCAGTTCCTTCTTAAATGTTACTGCAATCCACAGCAATTTGTGGCAAAGAGTTCCACACAGCAGCTCGCAGAGGTACAAGTAAATGGCAGGAAATTGGGATTAGAATGGGTAGCTTCTTGGATAAACAAACACCCAACAAGAGAAAAATGGTCAGGACAGCCTCCTACCTTGTCATACATTTCTACGGTCCTAACACATTCAACTCTTGTTGTTGGTCTATTTTATAATAAATATGAACTTCCTACTGAATTGACCACTTTTGTTCTGATTACACATAGTCCATTGAATTACACACCTCTCTCAGGTTCCACAAAAGCAAGTGGATGTGTAAATTAGCTGTGGATCCATGATTAAAATATCATTCGTTTTGAGACTTTACAACAAAGTTTTAAAAAAAAACTATGTTCCACACAACTTACCCTTGGTCCTGGTAACCCACGCGGTCCTTGATAACCTGGATTTCCACGTTCACCCTAGAATCATTTTAAAGGTGATTTACAAAATAAATAAGTCACATTCATCATTATAATAATCCTTGCATTTAACATGCTTTATCATGTCATCGATATATCTCAAAGTGCTTGATATTCCATCAGTCTGCACCTTTTTAAAAAAAATCTATATTATAGATATATCCACAAAATCCTTATATTTGATACAGCGCCATTTACATCGCGAGAACGTATTGAAGTGCTTCACAGGATTCACTGAAGTGTAGTGACTGTTTTTGTAGACAAAATTGCACACAGCCACAACCCACAAAAAGCCATGAAGTGAATGTCCAATGTTATATTTGCGATCATTTTATACAGTTTCCACATTTATTTTAATGCTGGAAATGTTGGCACTCTTGATCTGCAAGCCTTAAGACAGGGCTCTGGGTTACATTACAAGCAGCAATTGTTTAAGATTCTTCTTAGTAGAGCATTAAGTCGGAGCTGGCATGCCACCATTCATTTTGTCAAAGTGAATTTTTATACTAAATAATAATCCTTGCATTTGATATAGCACTTTTCACGTCTTCTAGATGTCTCAAAGCGCTTCACAGAATAGACTGTAAAGTGAATTGACCGTATATTTGTGGGCGAAATGCGGCAGCCAATTGCGCACAGCAGTGTCTCACAAACAGTGGTGGATTGAAAATGACCAATTTATTATTGTTTTGTTATGGAGGGATTATTATTAGGCTCTGTGTGGAGTAAGGAAACTTGCCCAAGGTTTCGCCCTCTGCCTGGAATTGAACCCAGGTGTCTCGCTTGCAAGGCGAGTACTCTAACCACTGAGCTACAGGACTCCACTTGGCTTAACAAACTTGGTTAGAGATAAAAGATAAGAGAATGCATGGAAGTTCTGCCTGAGCAGCAGAACTTGCCAATAAGTCATCATGATCCACGTAGCAAGCCAGGAGGGAAAACAAGGTAAAAAGGGAAAACAAAAGTCTGGGCTTTGGCGCCTAATCAGCTGTGTGGAGTACTTGGAGACATTTTCCTGATGTGACAGACATAATATAAATGCAAAATGCAATAATAATAATAATCCTTACATTTGATATAGCACCTTTCATATCAGGAGGACAACTGCTTCACAGGATACAGCTGTATATTTTGTAGGTAAACACGGCAGCAAATTTGCGCACAGCAACATCCCACCAACATCCATGAAATAAATGAACCATCTAAACTGCGGGATTGTTAGCCATGACACTGGGAGAAACTCCCTTCTCTTTTCTTAAATACAACAACAAGATTCCATTTATAGAGCGCCTTTCACGTCGGGAGGGCGTCCCAAGGCGCTAGATAGTTGGGTCATGGGATCTTTAATTTCCACCTGAATAGGCAGACAGGGCTTGGTTTAATGTCTCATTCAAAAGATGGCACCTCCAACTAAGGAGCACACCCCCAGATTAGACTATATGAGTTCAAAGTCCCAATATGGGGCTTAAACCCACAACCTACTGACTCGGAGGCAAGTGTTACAAACCGAGCCAGACTGACAAAACCAAATTGTATTGAAATTGCTTGGTGCCAAGTATCACAAATGCTGCTTTGGGAGCTAAAATACAAAATCATTACATCCATACAGTCATATAATGTGATATATTTAAAAATACAACAACTCTCATGTATACAGCACCTTTCACATTAGGTAGGTCTCAGAGTGCAGTTCTTGTGTAGGCAAAACGGCAGCTAATCTATGTAAGCAATGCCCCAGAAACATCTACAAGATTCACAACTAAATTGAATCTGCATTTGGTTAAGTAGATGAGGGAGGAAAATTGGCCAGAACGCTGGAAGAATTCTCAGTCTTCTAGCCTTTTTTGTTCGTCAGACATTGAAATCAAGATCAACTAAAAGATAACAAAGTCCTAACACCAGTTAGACTCTCTACATGTGCTGAAATGCCTTTGATTTACAACATGATAAAACAGTTGTATTGTTCCATAAATCAATCTTAAATTAAATACATGTCCATTCATCGGCACCTTCAGTCCTTGGCTCCCAATGATGGTTGGCTCCCTTATGCCTTACTGCAGTCAGCTATAAAACCAAATTTCTTTAATTATATTGGCAGAGAGACCGTCCTTTGGTGAGACATTAAACCGAGGTCCCTTCTGCCTGTTGAGGCAGACATTAAAGACCCTTTGGCACAATTCCTTTTTTATTTAAATTTGGTGTTCTCAGTTATTTTATTCTGTTTACCTTGCAGCAGTTAGTCAATTGGCAGATTGCTTTCTGGTTTCTATACTCTCAAAAAAAATTGGTCACTCAATCCATGACTGCTTTTGAGACACTGCTTTGTGCAATTGGCTGCTGCTGCGTTTCTCCCACAAAATACATAGGCACTGCACTTTACAGTATATCCTGTGAAGTGCTTTGAGACATCTCAATGATGTGATAAGGTAAGGATTATATTAATGCATAATATGTTATTATGTTATTATTAACGATATCAAATGCAAGGATTATATTATTATTATATTATCATTTTACTTTCTCCCTATTGCCTCTCTGACCCTGGTCTAGCCTCCTCTTGCTGGTTGTCCTCCAGTCATCGCCCGAGTGGCCATTAAGGGGTGAGCGTCGGTAGGCCACTCAACTGTAGAGGGCGTCACAGCCAAGCCTGACCTCTCCCCACCCAGCTGTCACACATCCACACAACCAATAGGTGCTCAAGAGGGACCAGGAGCGGGAAGCCTGGCTGATTTTCCCCTCCCTAACCCTGGGAAGGCCAACTTAGCTTCCGCATGCAAGTCCTACCAAGGTCATTGGATTTAGCATGGATCAGGCTTCAAACTAGCAAGCTCTCAATCGATAAACTATACCCTACGTCAAGCTGTCTCCATGGCATTATTAGAAAAGAGAAAAGAGATTCCATTGGTATCCAAGACAACAGGACTCAGGAGCAGAGGCAATGGGGATAAAATTAGAAAAAAAAACTGAACAATTCTTCTGGGGTCGTGGCCGACAAACCTCAAGGTAAATCGATTATTCACTTCAAGGTTGGAACTTTGCTGCATACATATTAGCTCCCGATTTCTGTACAAATACACAGTCACTAATGTGATGGAAATAGTCTGTGAAGTGCTTTGAAACACAAAAACAACTTGCATTTATATGGCGTCCTTCACGCAGTGTAACGTCCCGGAGAGCTTCAAATGTTTCTATGTCATATCATTCGCCTCCCCGCCTCAGTATCTGCTCTGGCACTACAAAATAGTCCGAGATATTTTTCTACGTGAAGGGTGCTATATATTAACAAGTTGTTGTTTCAGCGTTATAGGATTATTATTGATTAGCATCTGATTATCTGCTGTGACCTCAAACTTAATTCTCTTATCTCCTCCAATAAAAATTTTTTTCCTGTTTATGCCTCAATTCTATAACTGCTCAAAATTGCTTCCACACTTCCTTGGTCTGATCATTACTTTTGCAAAATTCAAATCCTCCTTGGATTCAAACACCGCCATATAAAAGGGTCAGACTGTATTCACAAACTGGAATTCACAAAAATAACAGTTTGCAAATGTTGCATTTGGTTTTATTAACTGTGTATAGAATTATTATACAATTACAGCACTGAAATAGGACATTCCATCCAACTAGTCCATGATGGTGTTTATACGCCACACAAATCTCCACCCTTCCTATTCCATTCTCTCGTATGCCCACAAAATCATACAGTCACTCTACTTTACAGTCGATAGATTTTAGTTAGGTAAGGGTATCAAGGGATATGGAGCAAAGTGGGATAAACGGAGTTGAGGTACAAATCAGCCATGATCTAATAAAATAGTGAAACAGACTTGAGGGTCTGAATAGCCTACTCTGGATCCTGTGTTCCTATGTAAAGTAAATCCTGTGAAGCACTTTGAGATGTCCTCCTGATGTGATGGGTATATCAAATGCAAGGAGTGCATGTGGAGTCAGTAGCTCAGTGGTTAGAGCACTCACTTTGCAAGCGAGAGACCTGAGTTCAATTCCAGGCAGAGGGCGAAACCTTGGACAAGTTTCCTTACTCCACACAGAGCCTAATAATAATCCCTCCAAAACCAAAAACAATAATAAATTGGTCATTTTCAATCTACGACTGTTTGTGGGACATTGCTGTGCTGCAATTAGCTGCCGATTTCGCCCACAAATATATAGTCAATTCACTTCACAGTGTGTTCTGTGAAGCGCTTTGGGACGTCCTCCCGACGTAAAAAGCGCAATATCAAATGCAAGGATTATTATTATTATTATAAGGAATTATTGTTATTATTATACCCTCTATTCTCTTCATTCTCATGAATCAATCGACTTTCCTCTTAAATAAATTGATGTTTTCTGATTCTACCACAGCTCTTCTGATTCTGATACATCTTGCATCTGCATAACACTGTAGCACGAGTCAGTGGGACAGTTACACACTCACTGATTCAAACATTGGCTGTGTTTCAAGTTCAATGCAAGGTCAGCATCGAATGTATACTGGCTCGGTGGAAGGGAAAACTGACCTGACTATTTCTTATAAGAAAAAATGAGCGCCTCTGGAACAATTAACAAGGGTTTCACTGACAGCCATTGGCATTCTCAGCTCTATAGACATTGATAACTTGGGAACATGTTACACTGGGACCAGGATTATATACTTACATGTAATATATAGCTCATGGATTCTGCAAAACAGGTGTGAGCTGCTCTGCTATGTTTGGATTAGAATCATGTTACACTGTACTGATTCAGACAGAAACAAATTGGGCCTCAGAGCAAAATGTACTTGAGCAGAAGTCTGGTTTATCTAATTGTCTATAATTTGGGGAATCTATTGCACATTCAATACATATATATATATATATATATGGAGTAGGTGAATAGAAAATCAAATGTGAAATTAATTGTCTGGTGGCTGGAAAGGAATGTCAAGAGACTAGGAAACATGCTACACTATAGAAAGCACACACAGCTTAACACAACGTGAAATGCACGTGTCAGATGTTAGCCTGGCTCAGTTGGTAGCATGCTCGCCTCCGAGTCAAAAGGTCATAGGTCCAAGCTCCATATCTGGTTTTTGAACTCCTTTGGTCTAGGCTGACATGCCAATGCAGTGCTACATGTGAGCTACATTATCATAGGTGCCGTCCGTCAGAAGAGACGTTAAACCGAGGGGCTGTCTGTGAATGCTCAGATGGACATTAAAGATCCCATGGCACTTTTTGAAAACAAAGGGTGTTTTTCCTGGTTCCTGGCCAAAAAAAACAAATAAAATTGTTCATTCATTTCATGATTGTTTGTAGGACGTTGCTGTGCGCATTCACTAACAAAGTACACGGTCACTGTACTTTATAGTAAATTCTATGAAGCACTTTGATATATTCCTGACTTGAAAGGCACTATAACCAAACTTACCCCTAATCAAATGCAAGGATTATTTACGTAATTAAAACATAGCAGTTAAAATTGTGGTTAATATTGTATCCCTAAAGGCATCCTGTTCCCTAATTTCAGTCAGGAAGAAGTAAGGATTGCTTTCTCTTCTGGAAAATGTTCTAAATCACAGCTTTGAGACTGAACCCCCCCCCCCCCCACACCCCTTCAGTTTCAGGAGAACGGTTCCTCCAACCAGGCCTTTCAGAAAGCCTTTAATCTGACAGAAAGAAGACAAATCTTATGCTTCTTTGTCAGGTAGTGACTTGAAATAATTTTAAAAGAAAATCTTTGAAAGTACAAAGCAATTCTAGAGATGAGGGAATCAAAAAAAAATCGCCCTCATTATACCACAAACAAAGATGGCGGCATTCCAACCCTGAAAGCTTTGGAGGGAGACACCGATCTCCCAAAGCCAAGGGGAGTTCACTCCCAAATGTGCTGTTGAGGACAGGTTTTAGAGACATATTTCAGTATATTTTTTGTACCATTTCATAATTATCAAGAGCAACAAATTCCATTAATATAGCGCCCTTCACGCAGGGTAGCGTCTCAAGCGCACCCGAACAATGCCGTAGTTTCACGCTGAGTTGGGGAGAAAGGGGATGCAACCGTAGGCACGGTCGAAGAAGAAAGTCTTTAGGTGCGATCTGAAGAGGGGCAAAGAAGGGGTAAGGCAAAGGGATTGAGGTAGGGAATTCCAGAGATTTGGGGCATAGTGGCTGTAGACACAGACGCCGATGGTAAAGCAGAGGGGTGGAGGGAGTACAGTAAGAACAAGACAGGCAAGCAAAGGGGACAGGTAGAGGAATGAGGTTGGAGAGTTAGAGAGGTGCTAGGGCATGAAGTGCATTATCAATGGGCATAATAATAAACTAATAAACTAAATACATTGAGGAATGCCACAATTTTGTCTGTATTTACTGGACAGGGCAATAAAAGCTACCCCTTGGACATATAGTTTTGAATCGTGTGGGTAAAATAGTTCAGATTCCATGTCTAATTTTTTATGTATCATTTGCTGTTCCCCTCAATTCACATCAATCATTGCTTAAAAACAAATCAAACCCAACATCTCTTTGGCAAAATCGCTATCCAAATATTGAACATGGAACAGTAAGTAAGGCTAGTTGGAAATGAATGGAAAATACAGTTAGCTCGAAAGAGCCTGAAATAGAAATTGAACTCAACCAGCTTAAGGAAAAGATTATAACATTATTTTACAGCTGGTGTATTTCAAAAAAATATTTATCATCACATTCAATAAATGTCAACAAAATACAGTCACCAGTAAAATCCTATGAAGTAGTTTGCGACATTATGAAAGGTGCTGAACCGAACACAACAATTATTATTGGGCTGTTCTTCTGTGAAAGGGTTTCAAAGGTGAACAGTTGCCTTAATATGGTCCATTCATTTCTGAACATTGACCTTGGGAGCCAATAATAATAAGTCTTTGAGTGTTACAATGAGGCATGCTACAACTCAAATATTCCCAAGCATGATGCAATAAAATACAACAGGAAGGAAAACGTAACAGTAACAATAATCCTCACACTTGAAAGAGAGTCATTCAATGTCTTGAGATGTCTCAAACCTAACATTGAGATCAGACATGATGTTGGAACAGGCTCGATGAGCTAAATGCTCCAATGTTCCTGGAAGTCACATATTTCACCCCATTGCAAATTCAACAAATGGATTCCTACCTGGTTGCCATGTCGCCCTTCCTCTCCTTTATGTCCAGGTGATCCCCGCAATCCCTATAAAACACATCAGGAGGAATGTGGCAATCAGCTACGCACAGAGACCGAGCTACAAACTGGATGTGAACTGAAGAGTATTTAACACGTACCTGAATGCCTTGTGGACCTGACACCCCAGGACTCCCAGGCAATCCTGGAATTCCCTGCAGTGATGAGAAATATGAGAAAAAGTAACTCAGTCATCAGAACTACAGCAAGAGCTATAAATGCTTAATATCCACCTGCCCTGGCAGCTGCAGCCTCAGTTTAACAACTCGGTCAAAGGACGACAACAACGTCAACTTACATTTATATAGCATCCTTCACACAGGGTATCATCTCTGAGCACTTAAAGGGTCAACATCCCAGCCCTCCTCCGATGCTGCACTGACATTAACAGAGTTCCAACATCAGGTCTTTCATGTGAATGAAACATCTCAAAGTACTTTGCGGAATGGAATTAAAAGTGTCTGGCAATCAACAGCCCACATTCCTGTAACAGCAACTTGCATTTATATAGCGCCTGGTGTCCCGACAGCTCCCAGGAAACACTGGCCTGCTTCATGTACCCTGTCCAATCTGCCTCACCAAAGATAGGTGAGCTTTCAGCCATTCTGTTTCCACAGAGTCCCTGCACTTGCCCTCTTCCTCCCCCCACACCTTTAAAGCCTGACTTAAGAGCCTATATTTTTCATCGTACTTTCAATTCACCTTTATATAATACTAATAATATTACTTACATTTAATAAAGTGCGTTTCATATTTGGAGGACGTCTCAAAGTGGGAGGATCTGTGCAAATTACCTGCTGCATTTGCCTCCAAATGTACAATTACTACACTTTACAGTGAATTAATGTGAAGAAATTTAAGGTGTTTCAACGACGTGATCCTTTAACAAATGCAAGGATTATTATCATTTTTATTAATAAATAGAAATTTAATGTGCTGCACTGACTGTGCGGCTACACAGAAACCCCTTGTGGATGCTAGTGTCCAGTGATATAACGTTTCCAACTCAGTTAGTTCTCCCGACAGTGGAATAAGGTTAAATATCAAATCATCTTTGCATAAGATACAGCACCTTTCACATCAGGAGGCCATCTCAAAGCACTTCACGGAATACAATGTAAAGTGGAGTTACTGTGTACATCCAGAATCATGTAATAATACATTTAAAAAATTCAACCCTTTTTTTTGGTCAGCCAGCTGTCTTCCACATGTGGAAACCCATGCTTAAGAGTATCCAATCTAAACAGCATTCCGTGCAACCCATCTACAAATGGAAATGTCAGTGGATTGGTATGGAATTCATATCCTTTCCCAAGAGAGATGCAGTGTGCTTTAACTAACTCTGGAGAGTGGTGGGTACATTAAAAAAATACACACAATGTACACAGTCACTCCACTGCACATTGCTTTTCCGATGAGATAGTTATTCAGCAGCATTTCCAGTTTCTTAGAGTCATTCGCGGGTCTGAAGAGCCAGGATGAAATAACGGTAGAACAAAGTTGGACAGAAAAATAAGAACAGTGCTATAGATACGAATAACATGCGGAAGAATACAAAGTAACAGAAAGAAATTATTCATGAAAAGAAAAAAAATTGCAAGGCTATGGGAAAAGTGAGGGAATGGGATGTATTGGATAACTCTTTCAAAGCGTCGGCACAGGCACGATGGGCCGAATGGCCTCCTTCTGTGCTGTAGGATAATATGATTCTATGAAAAGGTTCTATATACAATCAATAGCTAAAATGGTTAAATGTATCTTGCATCACAACAGAAACTGGGGAAAAATTACCAAAGGAGAGGTATAAGTTTTATAACTCTGTACATATAGTTTTAACGTATGTTGTTTTCTATCCAAGTGACTTGTGTATAAGATTTCTTTTTTTGACGTTCAAAAATGCCAGTATAAATGCAGATGTATATATTGGCTGGAGAATGGTGCAGTGGGAATAACAATCAAAGCACTTCTACTGGCTCCTTGACATCATATTGCCTTTCATCCTCCACAAATATTGCAGATAGAGAAATGTAGCTCTTATGGTTTTCACATATATTCAACGATATGAGACTGAGGTTCTGTCTGCCTGTTTTGGGTGGATGGCCGTCAAAGATCCAGTGGCGCAAAGAGTTACAAATAAATTGGTTAGGCTTTACAGTCTGCCTTATTGACATAACAGTGACATTACTGAGCAAATACTATCCTGCTTCATGTCCCCCACCCAATCTGCCTCGCCATCGGTCAGATTTTACAGTGTGCCTACAGTCACTAACATCACAGCAGTTTCTTGTGAAGCACTTTGAGATGGTTCAGTGTTTGTAGACAAGGCAAGGAGAGCATTGGAAAAATCATGGCTTCTTGAAGTGAGCTCAGCTCCTACACACATGAACAGTGAATGCAGAAGTACTGGCTGGGGTTCACCCCATTGCAGAACTGGTTGGGATTTTATGGAATTACCACATGGGGTTCCTTGCACTAGATATAAGACAAACAATATATACGACTACAGCAATGTGCTAGGTAAAGACTAGTTAATGGTACAACAAACCAGTACAATTTTAGTTAATATCACTGAAAAGGTTTTGTGTCAATTTTCCTTTCCCTTATTCTCTTGTCCTGTAGATATTTAATTATTTTCTTCCTTATACTGGAAAACTTCAATCACTGGCATTATATATTAATATATATTAATATATCAATATATTAATATATTATATTAATATATTATAATATTATTATATTAATATATTAATTAATATGGGTTAGAATATTTAAGATTTAATAAATAGATTATTATTAATAATAACAATAATAATCACTGCATTTGATACAGTGCCTTATCATGTCTTCGAGAAGTCTCAAAGCACTCTGCAGAATATACTGTAAAGTGATTTGACTGTTTCGTGGGCGAAGTGCAACAGCCAATTGCACATAGCAGTATCCCACAGTCATGGATTGAGTGACCAAATAATTTTTTTTTAATTTTTGTTTTGAAGGGATTATTACCCCACTGAAATGCGATCCACCAATCAACTAACAAGCGGGTTCCTGCTTACTGTAGGTAAACACAGGCATGTGAAGAAAGGAAACTTGCCCAACATTTCGCCCTGCCAGGGACTTGAAGCCAGGTCCTTTCGTTTGCAAGGCGAGTGCTCTAACCACTGAGCTACAGAACTCCACATGTAAGTAACAACCAATGATTAATACACATGTGTTTACACTTGGTTTACCTATGGTGACGATCTTCCTTGGGGAGGTGAGAACCCCTTAGCCAAGTCTCTGGGAAACACAGTAACACATTACCATGGAATAATGCTTAGGAGTATCTAAAACCAAACTAGAAACGCTAAATATTTTGTGCCTCACTTATAAGAGAATCGCTGAGACGCAGCACCCGGCTAACATGCTATAATGAGCTTTCGCTATGCTTGAGACATTTTGACAACATAATAAGGCATGGTATCATTTGCAAGGATATATATTATGCGTTTAAACTATTAAGAGTTTGACATAGCCTACAAAATACAGTCGCTACACTTTATGATAAATCCTATGAAGCGCTTTGAGACATCGGCCTGATGCGAAATGCATTATATCAAGGATTATAATAATATTCCTTGGTCCTCATTATCATAAGCCCCGTGTCTAGTATGGAGTGTACACTCTCTCCCCACGCGTGACACACGTTGCTTCCTTAATCGCAGAGAGTTTTGGTAGAGGTTGACACAGAATTCTTTAAGTCTTGACAAACACCCATTTTCTTGAGAAATAAATAAGGGGCAACATTTTTCCCTGTTTTCCAATTGCTTCCATCCCCTTTCCATCAGAATCCTATTTATGTTCTCTAAGGATCACAGGCACATTTTTGAAGCAAATCCAGCAACAATAAGAACTCAACATTGTCCATGGCCTTTGAGTTATACTGTACCATGCACATAAACTCCCTCATTGTAAACATTAGGGTATTATTTTAGATAGATATGTGAAGGAAAATATTTTAAGACGGAAAAGGAGTCAGTAGAGTGTTGATTAACTAGTATTGAGATGTCATTGTACATTGTATTGACACGTTGCCATACAAGAGATTGGTTCACAAGGTCAGAAAGCACAGAATGTAGGCTGGGGGGGGATTGACGTTGCTTAGAAATTGGTTGGATACTTGAAGTAATGAGTTACTGCACAGAGAACTACAAAGACAATGGAAGGAGATAGCTGGTTGGATGCCTCAGGGATCCAAAGCTATGTTACATTGTACAAAAAGAAGCGGAGTTGTTTTAACAAGTTTTACTTGTGACCGGCTGAATAAAATGAATAACAATTCTTGCATTTGAGGAAGCACCTCTCACGTCAGGAGGATGTGTCAGAGTGCTTCACAAAATGTATTGTAAAATGTAGTAACTGTGTATGTTGAAGCCCAACCCAGCAGCAATGTCCCACGAACAGCCATAAAGCGAACGATCAATACTGTCCAGCTCATTGTTGGCTCAGACACGGGGAGAAACTCCCTTTCTCTTTTCAAATTCTGCAATGGGATCTTTAATGTTCACCTGAACAGGCAAATGGGACTATGGTTTAATGTCTTATCCAAAGGATTGTACCTCCAGCAATATAGTGCTCTCCTAGCACTGCACTGAAGTGTCAACCTCGACAATGTGAGTTGAAAGTCTTGAACTCAAAGCTTTCTGACTCAACAACAACAAGTTGCATTTATATAGCGCTCTTCATTCATGATGATTCATTCTCGAATTCAAGATCCTCATCCTCACCTACAAGGCCATTCACGGCCTTGCTCCCTCCTACCTCTCCGACCTACTATCCCCCTACCTACCCGCCCGTACCCTCCATTCCTCTGGCTCCGGTCTGCTCCACATCCCCCGCCCCAACCGCCCTACCATTGGTGGCCGGGCCTTCAGCCCCGAGGCTCTGGAACTCTATCCCCCAGTGCCTTCGCGTTGCCTCCTCCCTTTCCTCCTTCAAGGCCGGTCTCAAGACCTTTCTTTTTGACCGTGCCTTCAGCTCCACTCTCGACTCTCTACCCCCTCCTCGCTCCCTCCCTTCCCTCCCGTCACCCTGACCATTTCCCCCTTGCTCGGGTCCTGACCCAACTGTACTGCGTCTTAGGACGTCCTCCCGACGTGAAAGGCGCTCTATAAATGGA